GGAGTCCCCGGATTCCCGCGGCACCCGTCCGGCATCTGCCCAGACCCCCCTGGGGAGTCATGATGCTCTCTTTTGAGACCACTAGAAACCTATCAGTCTTCGCTGTTAGGTAATCAAGCTCTCCGCCACAAGATGCCCCCAAGAGGCCCCAAGATGCCCCCAGAAAGCCCCCAAGAGGCCCCAGGAGGCCCCGAAGAGGCCCCAAGAGGCCCCCCCAAAGCCCAAAAGAGGCTCCAAGAGGCCCCAAGACGGCCTCCTCAAAGGCTTCAAAACTCTTTCTAAGAGGCTCCCGAAGACATGCCAAGAAGGTCCCATGACGATTTCAAGAAGCAGTCCAGGATGTTCCGAGGAGGCCCCAAGAAGCTCGCTAGAACTTGAGCGCGCGCGAAGCGCGCGCGATGGTTCTAATGTCGTATGTTGCTACGCCATGCTCTGTTCTGTCATGTTATGTTCGGTCATGTTCTGTCATGCTATGTTCTGTTCTGCGCTGTTCTGTTTAGCTCTGTCATGCTCGTCGAAGGCGCGGGTGGCGGCATACTCGGGGAACGCTTGGTGGACCAGGGGATCTGGCGGCCGCTGTATGCAGGGTGGGCCAGTCTGGAGGCTTGCTTTAAACATCTAACGACCCCAACTTACTGGGTAGAGAAAAGCGGAGTTCGAATCGAGATGCAAGTCTAATTGCAATCGAAGTACACACCGACAGTTGTCTCGAAATACCACTCACAATGCACATCTGAATGCAAATTGTAATTGACTTGCTTTATCGAACTATATAATGTAAGGTAAGTGCGAATGTAAGTATGAATGCACGTTTGGATGAAAGTCGGAAGGCGCATCACATCGGAATGCAAACCCATTTGCAATCAAAAGTTTCATCGACATGCAAATCGGCATGTAGGTTCTTCACCGTCTCCCAACATCATTAAGTATCACCCAGAGGGTGGTCAGCGCAGTATCTTCTGTAGTATAAACGGCGACCAGGTCCCTTGGTTCAGGGCCGGCCCATGTTTCTAAGATTCTCCCCTCAGGGTGCCCGTTTTGTCCCTGGTGGTCGGAGGACCCTTTTTCAGCCTTGGGTTACCCAGGTCCGCAGAGCTGGCGACGTGTATGTCGCACTGTGAAAGCTTACTACCTTCGGACCTCGGGTGTTGTTTTTTCGATCCCTGAGGCTTCAGAGCTTTCCGTCCCTTCCCCAGCGCACGTTTCTCTTCCCCAGCCGGTCGCCATTGGACAGTCCCGCGGCCTGACACGGGCCCGCGGTCGCCGAAATCGTGGAACAATCTGCCGCCTTTACTTGTTCAAGACGCTGGAGACCTGGATCCTCAAGACTGGCACTCTGGATCCACTTTGGGACACGTTCAGGCCAGATCTTCGAAGACGATCCAGCCGTGGCCACGAAACGAAGAACCGGCCGTTCCCCATAGTCCGCGGTCATGAGTCCACCATTCGAGCCTCCCTCGGTCTTTCCGTAACCGCCTTGGCTCAATGATCCTCTCTTGGCCAGGGGGGCGCTGCCTCCCGGCGGCGCACCCCGAACACCTCTGCTTTCACGGCGTGCGCGCCCCATCTTGCATCCGCAGCAGGGCCATCCCGGGCCCCAGGCTGGCATGTACAGTCGGGGCCCTGAAGAAGGAACCCTTTTCGTTGGGGAGGGGCTCCGTGTTCCTTGATTGTTTCGCAGCTTGCCTCAGGGTTTCCTTATGTTTTCGATGGGAAATCGAAGTTTAACTTATGGAAAAAAGGGGCCTCGTTCCTTATTTAGGGTTCCTTAGGTCAACGCCCCGACTGTAGACCTTTGTGGCCTGGGCCAGGTGGGCGTGCACACCATGCCAGGGGCCAGCATGGCCCTACAGACAGACACGCTGGCCTTCTGCTTCGGGGGGCTCATTCCCCCCCGACCTCCCGGGCCGACCCGTGAGGCGCTCGCTCCCCGTTGGAGCCGCCCGCCTGGCCTTTCGGCGCCGCGGCGACGGCGCTGGAGCCCCCGGCGGTTGGCCTCGGCGATAAGCAGCACCTGGTATCGCTCGAACGTGTGCACTTCTTCTCGGCGGGGATTCTTCAGGAGCGTCCTGGACCATCCTGCGAAACAGCCACGCGCGAGACCGAACAAAAGCATACCGTCGGGGCCCTGAAGAGGGAACGCTTGTCGTTGTGGAAGGGGCTCCGTGTTCCTTCACGGTTTCACAGCTTGCCTCAGGGTTTCCTTATGTTTTCGATGGGGAATCGAAGGTTAACTTATGGAACAAAGGGGCCTTAGGTCAACGCCTCGACTGTAGGGAATGGACGTCCGAGCGATGGCCACAGCACGGTGGGCTCTCCGGCCGATGTCCAGCCGGGCCCCAGGCTCCGCGCCGGGGGCTGCCGGGCGGCGCGCCTCCTGCTGGCACGGTGGAGCATCGCAGGCGTTGTGGAGGACGGTCAACGTCAGGAGGGAAAGAAACACACAGACACAATGAATCGTCGATTCCCAGGAAAATATGGGAAAATATGGGAAGTGGGCGGGAAGATAAAAACCCAAAACAGATGGGAAAATATGGGGACTGTTTTTATTTGTGTGTATTTATTTGTGTGCCCTGGGGCCCCTTCAACGGTGGAGCATCGCAAGCGTTGTGGAGGACGGTCAATGGAGAGGACGCATGTTGCCAAGTGATCTCCAGGTGTCCAAACGATATGTCAAACATGCTTTCAACACGTGGAGAGCAGGTTTAAAACATGTCCAGAACACGCGTCCGACACTCTGAGCACATGCTGCATTCAATGATAGGACTGTTAGGGTGTCCACTGTCGTGGCATCCACAGCGCAAGAGGGGTGGGCCAGCGGAGTGAGGCCACGCTCGGGCCGGGGGCGCTGGCGAGCCCAGCGCCGGATCTCGCGGCCCTGGCGGTGCTTGCGTGGCTGCCGGGACCCCAGTCGAACCACACTGGTCGGATTGCCAGGACCGAACACGCAGCACCCCGCAGATGCAGGTCAGAGTGAGGGGGCGGTGGGGAGGCCGGCAGCTTGCGAGACTCTGGAGAAGCCCGCCGCAGGCGCCAAAGTTTCACACATGATACAACGAGCCCGCCGCAGGCGCTGATTTTTTCGTGAAGCCAACGTGGGTAGGTCGCGGGTGGATCGCGGGTGGGTCGCAAATCGGTCGCGGGTGGGTCGCGGGTGGGTCGTTGTCGGGTCGAGGGTGGGTCGCGGGTGTAGAGGGCAGAAAATCCACCCCATAATAATCACCCCGGCAAGCGAAGCCGTTTCGTGAACGCACACAAGGAATTAATTGAACAGGGCAGGGCTGTTGAGTCAACGCCCAGGGCCGTTTTGGTAAACGTCAACCGGTGGTTTTTTCCTCCCTTGAGGGTGGCGCGCGGGGAGGGTCGCGGGTGGGTCGCGGGGTGGGTCGCGGGTGGGTCGCGGATGGGTCGCGGATGGGTCGCAGGGTGGGTCGCGGGTGGGTCGCGGGGTGGGTCGTGGGGGGTCGCGGGTGGGTCGCGGGTGGGTCGCAAGTCGGTCGCGGGTGGGTCGCAGGTTGGGTCGCGGGTGGGTCGCGGGTGGGTCGCGGGTGTAGAGGGTGTCGCGGTTGGGTCGCGGGTGGGTCGTGGGGTGGGTCGCGGGGTGGGTCGCGGGGTGGGTCGCGGGGTGGGTCGCGCGTGGGTCGCGGGTGGGATGACGACAACAAACAACAACAACAACAACAACAACAACAACAACAACAACAACAACAACAACAACAACAACAACAACAACAACAACAACAACAACAACAACAACAACAACAATCATTTAAGACTGGGGACACTCCGTTCTCACCAGTGCCAGGGTTTTCATAGGAGGCGGGCAATACCCCCACTTTGTGGGGGGGCCGGTTCAAGCTCTACCAAATTTCCAAACGACTCTTCGCCACCACCCACACCCAGCTTCCCGCCCTATGACGTTCGGACACTTCACTTCGTGGCATGCGGACGACCGTGGCTACTATTCAGGGCCCCGCGGCCGACGACGACGGCGTGCGCGCGCGAAGAAAAAACGAATGTGTCCAATATGGTATTATTTGACAGGGATGATGGCCCTGACATGCGCGCAACCGTGGTTGCAGAAGTTCGAAGCACGTGAAAAAGTTGCTCGCAAGAGCCCGTTTGACAGAAATGTTGAAAAAATATTGGGTTTCCTCAGAAATCCGCAAGAGCGCGCAAGATGAATTTTTGAAACTTTTTTTTGAAAAACCATTGGGTTTTTCATGTTTTTATGTTAAAATCGCTACGAAAACTAAGGTTTTGGAAGGATTTCATCTTGCGCGCGCGAGTGTGCACTTCGTGTCATTTTTTCAAAGGATTCTTGAAGTTTGGTTATGTTAGAACAAGAAATTTCATTTTATAGTGTTTTTTGCAAGGGAAAGCGGGCGTCAACAAAACAACCGGATCTGGATGACATCGTTTTACCTGAGACTTCCTCACGAAAATGATGAAAATGTGGCTGCGGCCTAGGCGCGGGGGGGGGGGCGTGCACCAGGGGGCCCAACAATAATTATTCTTTAGAATTAATAATGTTCAACAACAACAACAACAGCAGCAGCAGCAGCAGCAGCAACAACAACAACAACACCAACAACAACAACAACAAGAAGAGCAACAACAACAACAACAACAACGCAACAAGCAGAATTCTCACCACGAATTCTTCATTCAGCCATTCACCCAGGGACAATGAATGACCGTTCGGCCCCCTCACTCTGACTCACGCTGATTCGCGGCATATACTGAAGTCCCAGGAACGGCGTTCTGGCACGATTTCGGAGTCAGGACGTAACAGTCACGTTGATCCGCGGCGCTGAAGTCCCAGGAATGGTGCTTCGGCACAATTCAAGATTCTCAGACGGTTGTCTTCTAATGAGCCCTTTCCCGTAATGACAGTACATGCTTTTGGGTATCTATGAAGGGCGAGCTTATAGGGAGGATGTATTGCAACATCGCTGTTGCGTCTTAGGTTTGCTCGGGTCCTCCTCTTCCTCCTCCCGAAGCTGCTCAGGACCAAGCTTCACAGACTCAGAACCGGCTCCACCTGACGGGACGCGCTTGAACAAGCAATGGTGGAAATGGCAAACGTCTTCACGGCTGCAAAGTCGGTCTACTCGATGTGCTTGCTGTTGTTCTCCGTTGTCATCGTGATGGCGCTCATCTACACAGGGGACACGAAGCTCTCCAGGGACGGACACCCGGTTGTCGCCTACGTTGTCATCTGGGTCGCCACGATGTGGCTCGCGGTGGTCGAGGGAGGTCAGGCCTCTCTGGTCGGCCTCCCTCCCGTCCAGCCAGACCTCTACAAGGACAGTCATCCTATCACTCACCGGATCACGGCGCTTGCTCACAAGGGCGACAACCTCAATCGTTACCTCATTGGGCGGCAATTCTTGGTTGTATTGATCGTTTTCGTGACAAATTTGTCGGGTGCCCCGCTCGAAGGTGTCACTGTCCTTGGCTTGCCCGACATACTTCAGGATATTTTCTTATCGTCAGGTTTGGCTATGATCTTGATGCTGGCCATGATCGGCCAGCTGTCCGCCCAAGTCAATGCTTCGCACTGCATGCTTGATTTCATCAACTCCTACGTCGCACTTGCCACGCTCTACGTAGCATTGGCCATTGAGTTCTCTGGCATTCTGCATTCTGCATACCTGGTTCAGTGGATGGTTCAGAAACTCGCACGTGGACCGACGACATCAAAGAGCATATCAAGCAGTGGTCTCCAACGTTTTTTCTTCGTTGGGCGCATCGTCCTGTCACTGTGTATATTGGGCTTCTCCTTTGCAGTGACGATTTCTGCTCTATTCCAAGGGAAGACGACCATGTGGCTGGGTGTTCCAAAGGTGATATCAGTGCTTCTCTTTTTCCTGCTCATGTCGGTAGTCGGCATGCTCGAGGGTGCACAGATTGCTTTCTTTGCCGTCGCCAAACTTGACAAATCGGAATTGGGCACCAATCCAGTAGTTGCCAAGACTTGCGAGCTCCTCTTTCGTGGTGACGGTCATAACCTTCCAGGTTTCATGATTGGCCGTCAGATCCTTGTGACCATGTGTTTCTTCATCATCGCTCGGGTCACAACTTTGAACGTCGACACAGAAGCTGGCGATGAAACTATATTCGGGGTATCTGATGGGGTTCAGGATTTTTTCAACACTGGCCTGCTTGGTGCCATCATCACGACCACTGTCGGATCTATTTCTTGGCAGTTGGTGGCCTCGGTCTTCCCTGTCGCGTTCATGCACAACCCGCTGGTGTACGTTCTACTGCGGATCTGCTTGTTTCTGGAGTCCATTGGCATCTGCTCTGGTGCGTGGGTTCTGGCCTCCGTTCACAAGTACACGGTATGTTTCCGGCGCGACGAGTTCTACTTTGCACGTGCTGCTGGCAGCGACAGCAAGGTAAACGCAGAGGGCGGTTCAAATGTTGGTCTTCAGCCTTGCACGGATGTAGGCCCATCTCTCGGAACCGACCCCGGAACGTTCCATATTGACCCTGCCAAGTACATCAACGCGGTCGACCCAAGCACCATCGGTTCGCGAGTGTGACAGACGTTGCCGATAGCCAGCGCTTGAGTGAGCCAGTGTCTATGAATCGCGCGGGGAGCTTTGCCTCCCAAAGGTCTGGAAGGCATTGGGCCTGATACCTTTTGCATGTATCTCAATACGATTGAAATCATCAAGACATTTCGGAATTCGAGGGAGCCCTAAGTGCTTCTGCATAGCGTTTCGGGCAAGGCGTCACATCATGGGTTGAATTGCGGCGAGGCCAAAAGTTTACAGCAACGACGACGACGACAGCGACGACGACGACGAGGCGAAGCCGACAACAACGACGGAGACGACGACGGCGGCGACGACGACGACGGCGACGACGACGGCGGCGATGTCGAAGGCGACGACGCCGACGCCGACTACGACGACGATGGCGACGGCAACGGCGTCGGCGACGGCGACGGCGACGACGACGACGACGACGACGACGGCGACGGCGACGGCGACGGCGACAGCGAAGGCGACGTCGACGGCGGCAACGACGAAGACGGCGACGACGACGACGAGGACGACGATGGCGACGGCGTGGACGTCCACGACGACGACGACGGCAACAGCGACGGCGACGACGACAACGACGACGACGGCATTGGCGTCGGCGAAGACGACATCATCGGCGACGACGACGTCGGCGACGACGGTGGCGACGGCGATGGCGAAGGCGACGGCGACACCGACGGTGCTGGCGCCGGCGACGGTGCTGGCGCGGGCGACGGCGACGACGACGACGACGACGGCTGCGGCGGCGGAGGCGACGACGACGACGACGACGGCGACGACGACTACGACGATGACGACGACGACGACAACGTCGGCAACGACGACGCCAGTGACGACGCGACGACGGCGACGGCGACGGCGCCCGCGTCAACGACAGCGACGGCGTCTGCGACGGAGACGGCTACGACGACGACGGCTGCGACGCTGTCGACGACGACGACGACGACGACTAGGGCGACGGCGACGACGACAACGTGAGCGACGACGACGTCGGCAACTGCGACGGCGACGGTGCAGGCGACGGCGACGGCGACGGCGAGGTCGGCGACGACGGCGAAGGCGGCGACGACGCTGACAATGCGACTGCGACGACGACGACACTGACGTCGACGACAACGACAACGGCCGCGGCGGCGGAGGCGACGACGATGATGACGATGACGACGACGACGATACGACTGCGACGACGACGACTACGACGACGACGACGACGACGACGACGACACTGACGACGTCGACAACAACGACTTCCGCAGCGGCGGTGGCGACGACGACGATGACGTCGTCGATGAGGACGACGACGGCGACGACGACGACGACGATGACGACGACGACGACAGTGACGACGACGTCGAAGACGACGACGACGATAGCGACGACGATGACGTTGCGACTACGACGACGACGACGACGACGACGACGACGACGACACTGACGACGACGACAACGACGACGGCTGCGGCGACGGAGGCGACGACGACGACGACGACGGCGACGACGACTACGACGATGACGACGACGACGACGACGGCAATGGCTAAGGCGACGACGACGGCGTCGGGCGGCGTCGGGAACGATGACGTCGGTGACGACGTCGGGGACGGCGACGGTGACGGCGACGGCGACCGCGACGGTTACGGCGACGGTGCCGGCGACTGCGCTGGCGACGGCGTTGGCGACGACGACGGCGGCGGCGCTGGCGACGGTTACGGCGACGGCGACGACAGCGGCGAAAACGACGACGGCGACGACGACTGCGGCGGCGACGACGACGCTGATGACGGCATCGACAATGACAACGACGACGACGACAAAGCCGTCGTCGGCGGCGACGGCGACGGCGGCGGCGACGACAACGACGTCGACGACGACGACGAGGACGTCGACGGCGGCGACGACGACGTCTACGACGGCGTCGACGACGACGACGACGGCAACGGCGACGATTACGCTGTCGCCGACGGCGACGACGACCACGTCGCCGACGATCGACGACGACGGCGACGACGACGGCAACGGCGACGCTTACGGCGACGACGACGGCGAAGGCGACGGCGACGGTGACGGCGAGGGCGCCATCGACAACGACGACCGCGGCGACGACCTCGACGACGACGACGACGACGGCGACGGTGACGGCCGCGGCGACGACCTCGACGACGACGACGGCGACGACGGTCGCGGCGACGACGACGACGACGACGACGACGGCAGCGACGATGACTACGACGACGACAGCCACGACTTCGACGACGACGACGAAGACGGCGACGGCCGCGTCGATGACCACGACGGCGACGCCGACAACGACGGCGATGACGTCGACGACGACGACGACGACGACGACGATGACGACAACGGCGGCTGCGGCGACGACGACCACCTCGGCGGCGACGACGACGACAGCGACGACAGCGTCGACAGCGACGATGGTGACGACGACGGCGAAGACGACGGCGATGGCGACGACGACGGCGAAGGCGACGACAGCCGCGGCGACGACGACGACGACTACCACGACGACGACGACGACGAAGGCGTTGACGACAACGTCGGCTACGACGACGACGGCAGCGGCGACGACGATGACGTCGGCGACGACGACGACAGCGACGACGACGATGACAGCGACGGCAGCGACGACGGCGAGGGAGACGGCGACGGCGGCGGCGACGACAACGCGATGGTGACGACGGGCGCGGCGACGATGACGACGACAGCGACGACGACGACGGCAACGGCGACGGCGACGACGACCACGACGTCGGCGCCGATGCCATCGGCGACGACGGGGTCAACAACGACAGCGATGACAGCGGCGAAAGCGACGACGACGGAGACGGCGACGGCGACGGCGAAGGCGACGGTGCCGACGTCAACAGCGACGACGGCGACGGCGACGACGACGATGACGATGACGACGACGACGATGTTGACGACGACGACAGCCGTGGGGACGGCGACGGTGACGGCGACGACGACGACGACGTCGGCGAAGACGACGACAGCGACGACGGCGACGACAGCGACGACAACGACGACGTCGGCGACGACGACGACGACGTCGTCAGCAGCGACGACGACGACGTCTTCGGCGACGACGACGACGACAGCGACAACGATGGCGACGGCGACGGCGACGGCGACAGCGACAGCGTCGACGACGACGACGGCGACGGGTGCCGCGACCACGACGACGACATTGACGACGACGACGTCGACGATGACGGCGACGACAGCGACGACCTCGACGACGACGGTGACGACGACGGTTAAGACGACGACGACAGCGACGAAGACGAAGACGACGACGACGACGACGCCGGCGGCGATGGCGACGGCAACTGCGATGACGACGACGACGCCGATGCCGACATCGGCCACGACGACATACGACGACGACACAATCGTCGACGACAGCAACGACAGCGACGACGGCGACGGCGACGTCGACGGTGACGACGACGTCGACAGCGACGACTGCCGTGGCGACGACGACGACGGCGGCGACGACGGTCTTGTAGACGACGACGACGAAGACGACAGCCACAACAGCGACCGAGTCGACGACGACGATCTTGTCGACGACGACGACGACGGCCGCGGCGACGTTGACGACGGCAACGGCGACGGCAGCGGCGACGACGAAGACGGCGGCGACGAACACGCCGGTGACAGCGACGTCAGCGACGATGACGACGACGACGTCCGCGACGACGACGACGTCGACGTCGGCGACGATCACGTCGGCGACGAAGACGACGACGACAGCGACGACGGCGACGACGACGACGACAACAGCGACGACGGCGACGGCGACGGCGACGGCGACGGCGACGACGACAGCGACGGAGACGATGGACGCTGCGACGAAGACGACGACGACGACGACATCGGCGACGAAGACGGCAACGGCGACGGCGACGTCGAGAATGTCGGCGACCACGCCGTCGGCGACGATGACGACGACGACAGCGATGACAGCGACAACGACGACGACGGCGACGGCGACAACGACGACGACGACGGCAGCAACGACAGCGACGACAACGACGACAGGGGCGACGGCGGCGGCGACAGCGACGGCGATGACGACGGCGACCGCGACGGGTGCCGCGACTGCGACGACGACGACGACATTGACGGCCTCGGCGACGACGGCGGCGACGACAGCGACGACATCGACGGCGACGGTGACGACGACGGTTAAGACGACGACGACGACAGCGACGAAGACGACAACGAAGTCGGCGACGGAGTCGACGACGACGATGACGACGACGACGACGGCAGCGACGACGGCCGCGGCGACGATGACGACGGCGACGACGACGGCGTCGGCGCGGACGACGACGCTTGCGACGACGAAGTCGGCGACGACGACGACGACGGCAGCGACGTCGGCGACAACGACGGCGACGGCGACGACGACCGCGGCGACGACGACGACGTCGACAAGAACGGCGACGACGACAGCGACGACAGTGACGACGGCCAGGGCGACGGCGACTGCGACGGCGACGACAACGCCGTCGGCGACGACGGCCGCGGCGACGACGACGACGACGTCGACGACGACATCGACGACGACGTCGGTAATGGCGACGGCGACGGCGACGTCGGCAACGGTGACGGCGACGACGGCCGCGGCGACGACGACGACGACATCGGCGATGACGACGACGACAACGGCGACAGCAGCGACGACAGCGACGATGACGATGAAGACGACGAGGACGATGGCGACGGCGACGAAGACGACGACGACGACGGCCTCGGCGACGACGACGGCGACGTCGGCGACGACAAAGACGGCGACGTCGACGACAGCGGCGACGGCGATGACGACGACAGCGACGACGACGAACGCAACGACGCTGGCGCTGACGACGTCGGCGGCGACGACGGCGACAGCGACGACGACCGCGGCGACGGCGAGGGCGACGGCGGCGACGGCCGCCGGCGATGGCGACGACAAGGGAGACAGCGACGACGAGGGCGACGGCGACGGCGACGACGATGGCGACGAAGACTACAGCCGCGACGGCGACGACAACGACGAAAGCAACGGCGACAACGACGACGGTAATGGTTACGGCAACGACGACGACGAAGACGACAGCGACGACAGCGACGACAACGTCGACGGCTTCGGCGACGACGACCGCGAAGGCGGCCTGGCGACGACGACGGCGACGACGGCGACAGCGACGACGATAACTTCGACGACGACGATGACAGC